AGGTGGCGGGCGCCTGTAGTCCCAGCTACTCGGGAGGCTGAGGCAGGAGAATGGCGTGAACTCGCGAGGCAGAGCTTACAGTGAGCTGAGATCCGGCCACTGCACTCCAGCCCGGGCACAGAGCGAGACTCCGTCTCAAAAAAAAAATAAATAAATAAAAATAAAAAATAAATAAATCGCCCTGTTCCAAAATAACATTGTGGTAATTGTAAGTAGTGCATATTTAATCTTAAAAACTCAGGATTGATGTAAGCACTGGAATATTTTATTTGTAGAAATGTGTATCACAATTACTTAAATTTATTTTTTTGAAACAGCTGCAGCAATAATTGCCACTTATTCATATGTATCTTCAACCTCTGTTACTCTGATGACTGACAAAAGAACTTGAACCTATGTTATATGATACAAGCATAACTTGAGCTACACTAAACCACATGACAGTGTTTACTTAATTCTTGTATAAATTAGTATATCTCCTCTATCATTAGCCTGTTTGTTAAATGCTGGACCACATTTCTATGATCTGTTGAAAGAACCCTAGACAGTTCTGTGAGAAAGCAGCAATTGCACAGTTATATACACAGTCAATTAAATTTTAACGTTAAAGATAATTTAGTTTTAGGTTTGGCCTCTGTGGTTCTGTATCAGTTCCAAAAATGTGGAAAGCATGGGCATGGAAAAGCACATTTTTCTCTAATAAAAGAAGACAAAACCTTATTTTATCTGTGCATTCTTTATATTTAATCATTAGGTTAAAGAAGCAATTCCAATGAAAGCTTGACTTCAGAAAATAGATATACTCTATGGCCTTTCAAAATTATTAAAAGTACCTTAACGTCTGTGTTCTTGAAAAAATTAAACTACTATAAATGATTGAGACAACTGAGCAAGATATATTAATATCAGTGCTGAACCACTGGTTTGTGGGTATGTCATTTCCAAAGACATCAAATTGCCATGTAGTTTGTTTTGGTCCACCATTCAATGATACCTCCCCTTAGCATTGAATGAAAGTATTTTGTTAACATTTATGTATGCTTACAATTATTTCACATCTGTGGCAAGGTAAATTATGTAGGGTGCTTTGTTTTTCAAGTTTAGTATTTGTGGAGTATGCGGAAGTTTAAGTATATATGCATCTAAAAACTTAAGTGATGAATTCTCCTACCTTTCGTTTTGTAATGTGCGGTTTTTACACGTAACAACATACAAAATGTTCATTTGAAACACTTTATTTAGTAAATATGAAATTCAGAATATATTTGGAGTAAGTCAGTTAAATGTATTCTTTTGCTGAGTTTCTGAAATTCCATTCATGAATCCTTCAGAACACAATACTCCCATTGGGAGGAGAGGAGCGACTTCCTCTCATTTTCCCTTGTGCTTTTAATTTTAATTGGCCCCTATATACCACTCTTGTCTTTTCTAGGTTTTCCAAGTTTAAGGAAAAAAAAAAAGTTCATTCAGATTCTGGTTTTCTGCCTGCAATCACTTATACAGGAATAAGTGAGTCCCTATGGGGAGCATTTAATTCCTAAAGCTTGCATTTTCATAAAGGATTTTCCTTTTACCCAAAGCGTGTGTTGGTGTATAAGTCTAAGTACTACTTCAGGTTTCTAAGAAAATCTTTATTTGAGATCTGCAGAGGTCCATATGAGAGTTCTATTATACATACTGGGCTATGTAACCATTTATTCTATAGTGGAAGGATGAGAATTAGGACAAAATGTACTTAGTGATGAAACAGTTGATATTTATGCCACCCCTTACTACCTCAAATGAGTAATGGTGTACTTTAAGTCACTTTGGCAGATATTCTGAAGGGAAGAAAGTTTTTGTCCTTAAAAGTTATTAGGGGTGTGTGTATGTGTGTGTGTATAAATGTGTGTGTGTGTGTGTGTATATATATATATGTGTGTGTGTGTGTGTGTTTATATGTATATATGCATATACATGTATCTATACATAAATAATATGCATATACGTATAGGTGAATATGTGTACACACACACACATATATATGACTTTATTTTTTAGAATTGTTTTTAGTTCACAACAAATTGATCTGAAGGTCTAGAGATTTCTCATTTACCCCCTGCTCTCCCACCATAGCATTCCCCACTATCCATATCCCCCACCAGAGTGGTGCCTTTCTTATAACCCATGAACTTACATTGACACATCATTATCACCCCAAGTCCATAGATTACTTCAGGGTTCACTCTTGGTTCCTTTTTTTTAGTGACTATTTTTTTCACATCACCTGTGCTATAGTCCCTGTTTTATTTCTCATAAAGAGAACATTTAATTTGTACTTTTTTGTGACCATGAAATTTTAGGTTAGAATATCAGGAACAAGTTACACTAAAACAAATGTAAAGATTCACTTTTCTCCCGAAAATGGTAAGACAGATAACATTTATTTATATATGCTTGAAACATTGTAGTTAGTGCTTTTAAATTCTAGATTGAAGCACATATTTTCTTTTGTTCCATAATAAACACCCCGTTTGAAGAATGGCTGATATCTAGAGCATCATATCTTGTAATATTGTCTCACTCAATAGCTGAATGTTGAAATGTACAGTCACAAAGCACTAAATATATCCTTAGAACAATGATGTACTGAACAAAATTCAGAGTTCAAATGCAAAGACAGCTCCCAAGAAAGTTTTCCCACAGACCAGAGGCAAGTCCTTTCCTTCAGCAACTGAAACCCAGGAGAAACAGAGTCTCTTGCCTCTGCCTCTTGGAGAGGGGTTCTCCTGATACCAGAGGGAAAGGGCCATCTCATTTCCCTGACGTTAGTTAAAATTTCATCTTGGATTGATAGGTTAATATCTTTGTAAAGATATCTAAATTAAGGTGATTCAGTCAAATCACAAATACTTGACTCACTCCTTAGGAGGAGCTTAACTCTGCCCTGAATTTCTGTGCACACACCTGATTTTATTGCACTCACAGTACAAAAGCTCTGAGATGTAAAATTGAACCAGAACTGGACAGCGCATTGCATTCTTATTCAGGTGAATCAGGGCTCTCTCAGCGCTGCTCACCCAAAACACATTGAAATCAATTCTTTTTATTCTTATTTATTTGTAAAACTGACAGTGATGTATCTATGTCAGAGGGTTACTATGAGTATCAGAGGAAGCGATGGTGAGAAGGTTAGACACATGGTACATGTTGAATAAATGTTAGCTATTAGTTACCAATATCTTCATGATTTTTATTGATACGTAATAGTTGTAAATATATATAGGGTAAATGTGATATTTTGATTCATGAATATGTAAAGATCAAATCAGGGTAGTTGGGATTTTCATCATCTCAAACTTTGATCACTTTTTGTGTCAAGAACTTTGCAAATTTTGTCTAGGTATTTTGAAATACAGGATAACTGTAGTTACTCGAGTGTGCCATTGAACACTAGAACTTATTTCTTCTCTCTAACCGTATGTTTATACCCATTGTCCAGCATTTCTTTTTCCCTGACATCCCTCCTACCATTTCCAGCCTCTGGTAACTACCATTCTACTCACTACCTCCCTGAAATCAGTTGTGTCCAGGAATGAATAGCAAGTAAGTGGTAAAGATGGACTAGTTGATAGTTAATAACCATGACTGGTCTATTCTTTGTCTGCTACACTTTCTTTCATCTATGTGTGGCAAGTGCCTACTTACTCTTTTAAGATCTGTGTCAAAGACCACCTAATTCTTCACCTTTTCTGGAATCCGTTAGTTCTCAAACAAAATTGTGCCCCTTTTCCTCTCTTTTAGTGGTTTTGTACCTCTCAAATCCCGTATTGTGGCTGTTATTTACTTCACTGTTACCCTTCAGAGTAAAAATTTTATCATAGTCCCAGTTTTATTTTTGGAACCTGGTGTGTTCCCAGCCATACAAGAGGTGCACAATACACATGTACTAAATAAATGAATGACTGGTTATTTGAAAGAACACTGAATACACAACAATTCTCCAATCTCTGTGTTTATGTAAACACAAGAATTAATTTTATTTGCCTAATTCAAACATTATCTTTAAATTTATTCAAACTTCCCATTTTCCATGAATTAACCAGACATCCTTTGTTGCTAGATTTTCACTAATTAACCAGTTAAATATATTTTGCCTTATATCATTTAAAAGAGCACGTCAAACAAAATCAGACAGCTGGCCGGGCGCGGTGGCTCACACCTGTAAACCCAGCACTTTGGGAGGCCGAGGCGGGTGCATCACGAGGTCAGGATATCGAGACCATCCTGGCTAATATGGTGAAACCCTGTCTCTACTAAAAATATGAAAAAAAAAGTTAGCCGGGCGTGGTGGCGGGCGCCTGTAGTCCCAGCTACTTGGGAGGCTAAGGCAGGAGAATGGCGTGAACCTGGGAGGCGGAGCTTGCAGTGAGCCGAGATGGCGCCACTGCACTCCAGCCTGGGCAACAGAGTGAGACTCCGTCTCAAAAAAAAAAAAAAAAAAGTCAGACAGCTTCGGTAGTTCACGTCTCTTGAGCTCACGATTTTAAGGAGTAAAGTTCACCCCGCCACTTGCCTACCTGTCTCAGTACTCACACACTTTCATTGATGTCCTGCTAATGTACATGAAATCAAATATCCATACCTGCTTTTAAGTGTGCCCTAGTCAACAAACAGGTCACTTGGTTATCATTGTCTTCCATCCAGGATCAAGACAAAATAAGTGCCAGAGAAAGATGTCCTATAGAGAGTCTCACAATGTACTAGTCACACATAAACAAATTAATTACTGGAGCACACATTCCTATCTTTTAGAAAGAGAAGACCTGTTAATAGGAGTTGAGAGTGAAGAAAATCAATTCTCATTGAACCGATAAATGTCCCTTCTGGATAGTTTACATTGCCATTAAAGCAAAAAGTTGCCATTTTATCTGTCAGCTACTTATTTCTTGCATGAGCTCTTCTGGCTTTTTAAATCGTATCTTTTGGCTGGGCATAGTGCCTTATGCCTCTAATCCCAGTACTTTGGGAGGCCGAGGCGGGCGAATCACTTGAGGTCAGGAGTTTGAGACTAGCCTGGCCAACACGGTGAAACCCTATCTCTACCCAAAATATAAAAAATTAGCTGGGTGTGGTGGCACACGCCTATAATCCCTGGGGTGGCTGAGGCAGAAGAATCGCTTGAACCCAGGAGGCGGAGGTCACAGTGAGCCGAGATCGTGCCACTGCACTCCAGCCTGGGCGACAGAGTGACACTCCGTCTCAAAAAAATAAATAAAAATAAATCATATTTTTGGTCATTTGCCAAGTGCTTGGCTGTTGGGTACACACGGAATAAATTATCCAGTAAAAAACATCTCGAATCTTTCCAGCTATTTTTGATCAGGTACACCTGTAAATCTTAAAAAGCCTGTAAAGAAATACCTAACTAGTACATTGGATACAAGACATAAGACAATAGTAACTGAAGTTCTGAAAGTTAACTTAGGAAATTGCAATCGTTAGGGGGTAAAATCCTTAAAGCCTTAAAATTCTACTAGGTGGCAACCGCTGTTTATACACACATGCATTTCCCTCTTCATATTTGGGAAACTGATGGTCGTGTTTCCTTTTTAGGGTGGAAGAAAAAATTCTCCATTGAGAGAAGGGAAGGAAAATACAGGAAAAAGAACCATTCTTTGAAGGCACCTATTGTCCAATTCATGAGGAAGAGCTTGTAGTTCTGAGTTGCACAAGCATGC